TTTAGGGAAGCAACAAACAAGTAGGCAAACGCGGGGAAGATAGGGCACCGCCCGCCCGTGTAAAAACCGTAAAACCAAAAAGTACTTGACGGCTCCTTCCTATGCCAGTGCAATCCCTCGTGAAAGGGGAAGAGGTAGGCTATCGAGACACTTGTGGATGTAACGACCGCGGAGCCTGTATTGAACGGGACGGTGCCTTCAACCCCTCGTGGAAGAGGAAGAGGTGGGCTATCGAGACACTTGTGGTGATAACCGCAGCACGTGTACGACGGGACGGCGCCTTCCTGTGCCAGTGCAACCCTTCGTTTTAGGGAAAAAAGGTTAGTCAACAAGCAAAGCCTTATTACAATTATCGTTTACATACAAAATGAATGAAGTTGCTGTTGCTATTAACAGAATTGTGGAAAGCTACAAAATCTAATGGATATGTATAAGCAGCTATTAATTGATGGATAGGAAACCAAGAGGTCTGTCTGCAACATAGCATCTTACCTTCCCCCTCTGGAAGCAATTAAAACTTAATTTTGTAATCAATCGCCACTTATTGTGATATCGGATATCATTTAATGTTAAGTCTGTAAATTTTTCAATAACAATAGCCGGATATTTAACAACCGAAAAGATAATGAACAAAGCCAGACCTATTATAACGCCTTGAGGAACCCTTTATTTTTTTTTGTTCCAAATACTTTACTTGCTGTTGCATTGTTGTATAAAAGTTGTACAAAACATATTTTATTTGTGTTATATGAATAATGGTAATAAAAAAAAATATTACACTCAACAGAACTGTCGATTGATTGATGATTAGCGATTGATGAGTGAGCCTTTTTTTGGAAAAAGAAATTTGACTTACCTAATTTGAAAATCTTTGAAAGTAGAGTTATTAGTAGTAGTCGTTTTGATCAACTGCTCTTTTGTCGTAGATGTGAAATTCCCAACCCCACACCGAACATCGTCGGCTTAGGGACGCGAATGCTTCAAGAGCCCTTTTGGCTTGGGCTGTTTGCAGTTTTCTCTGTACTTGGCATGGTCGGCCTGGTGTGGTGCGCCAAAAGGCATTTCCCAGAAAAAATCGAGAAACTTCTCGCAGAAGAAGCAGACAGATGCGCCAGGCGTAAGTTTATCCTTAACTTTATGTAGGACCTGGAGGACAAATCTTTAGGCTCATTATAAAATTCGTACTGCCAACATTACAAGTAAATTGTTCTACCAATATATTTTAAAGGCACAATACGTATAAGCTTATCACAGTCACTTTTTATGATAAATACACGAATTTTCGTAAAGGTTTTATTGATTTTAGTGAGGTGACGCATAATTTTGTATGGCATAGGTATTTCTGTCACAGTAATTTAATGAAGCTTTCTTCTATTTGGAATAACATTTTTGCTATACTCATGTATTTTCTCAATAAACGCACTGTCTATGGGATGGTAAGGACACGTTTTGCGTAATTTTCTTCTTTGTCTATCTTTTTCTATTCTGTGTGTTATGAAACTTGCGGGTCCAGAAACATTGCTTACTACACTAGCCTTTGTTTTAGCATCTCTGATCATGTCAGTGCATGCTGCATTATAGATTAGGATTCATGGAATAGTTACTCGAGTTTCATTAGTTAAAGCTTTTTTGTTTCTGGATTACGTAAGGTAAGGTGCACAATTATTTTAACTCGGTTCAGTTGCAAACTAGATACCTACATTATCATTATTATAAAAAAATATCATATGCATCACGTACTAAGTTAAAGTAATTGTGTCTACATGTATATCAACAGAAATTTTACAGTAATCGAAAGTGCTTGGACATTTTGACCCACTACCAACCGAAAACTCTGGATAATGTCTGAAATGAAACGTCTCTGTTTTATCATTAATGTTAGTACTTTATTAAAATGTATGACACTAAGAATAAAAACACATAAGTCGCCACGTGACCACGTTTCATTCAATCGAACGCACAAGCATGGCCATTGTTGTTAGTGTGTTTTGTATAATTGAATTAGGGTTGCCAATATATCGGATATCCTTATTTGCATTTCAATTATCTCTCATATGTTTTACACCTTTAACAATTTCTGCAAAAACAAACTTAAAATCGAGTGATCTAAGGTATAATGCAAATTTTTATATGGTAACATAATATAAATTATTTTCTTTACTGGTCGCAAAATCAGTATACAGTGCAACAAGGATCTTTATGAACGTTAGTTAGGGCGGCATTAGTTCCACTTTCGCCACATTCATAAAGATCTTGGTCGGATTATAGTTATATTTTGGTTTCACGAATTCTCTGAAAGTCATTCTTTATAGGTTTATTTATAAAATCAATAAAGTTGAAATTAGCTACGTTTCTCTCGCCATGCCGAGGTTTTATTTCGGGAACCGTCTCCTTCCGCGACTCGCGGCGAATGAGGATTCTTCGTACGGCAATCCTAGTTCGGATTCCGGATGGAAATGTCCAAGCGCGAGTGTAGCATCGGGTGTTGGGGCAGCGTCGGGCGGGAGCGGTACCCTGGCGCGGCGGGGGCGGGGGCGGGGTCGGGGGCGGGGGCGCGGGCTCCGGGGCGGGCGGTACGCCGCGGTGCCGACGGCGGAGGCGGCGCAGCAGTGACGCGCGGTTTGTCCACAGCGCGGCGGACGCGCGGCTTGAGCGCTGGCGGGATCGGGGCCGCGGGCGCGGGTGCGGGCGCAGGCGGGGCCGGCAGCGCGGGTGCGGGCGGGGAGCCGCGGACGCTGCTCACGCGGCTCGGTATCCGCAAGCCGTCGCTGTCGAGCCTGTCGCCGCACCCGCGGGCCGCGCGCACCTTTAGCTTGGACGATCTGTTAAAGCCGCCGCCCGGACGTAAGGAGCGGAGCGTGCGATCCGCGCTCTCCGCACCGATTGACGCGATCGCCCCATTTGTCCATATATTCATCTATTCTACAGTAGCAATCCCCTATGTATCCATCCATACAAAACATTCACATATTCTACATTAGCGACCTCCCATATATCCATCCATACAAAACAGTCGTCTATTCTACATTAGCGATCCCCCATATATCCATCCATACGAAACATTAATCTATTCTACATTGACGACCTCCCATATATCCAGTGGCGGTCTTAGGGGGTGGCGAACAGGGCAATCGCCCGGGGCCTCGCTCCTACAGGGGCCTCGCGCAACAACCCAAGCAAATTTTAAAAATATAAAAAAAAATACTATTTTTTCAATGACACAAGATCGGCTTTCAGCCCTCGCTATTCTTTCAATCGAAAATGACGTAGCTTATTCGTTAGATTATTGTGCTTTAATTAAAGATTTTAGTCTTAGGAAAAGCCGCAAACATCAATTTTAAAATTTATCATCTCTGTATTTGTTAATTTTGTGAATCTTTCAATGTAAAATATTTTAAAATTCAAATTTGATTTATTTGTATAATTTAAGCATTTTTCCTTAAACATGACAAATACCTAAACCAAACAATCAGACCTACTTTCGCATCACATACTTTTCACGAAGGACAAAGGGCCTCGCAAAGACCTGCCGCCCGGAGCCTCGCAATCGGTAAGGCCGCCTCTGCATATATCCATCCATACAAAACATTAATATATTCTACATTAGCGATCCCCCATATATCCATTCATACGAAACATTCATCTCTTCTACACTATGCACTTACATTCGATCATTTTGCAGAAATTTCTCAAAATTAATTATTAATGACTTTGTTTGGTCTTATTTTCATTTTAAAATAAGTATTTTGATATTATTTTATTCTTCAATTTTTATGATAAGTCAGTGATAATTGCAATAAAGAGAGTTACCTACAATGCGAAGAGCTGGCGCAATTTCCAAACCCCAATTTGGTAAAATTTTCATTAGATTTAAACATGTAACATGCTTAAAAGGAAATATATAATAAATCATTGCAATAATTTAAATTATACATCCATAATCATCATCATCATCATACATTCATAAGTCAGTCTGTAGAAAATACTTATTTATCACATAATTTATCACATATTGAGTTCAATAGTTTTCAAAACAAAATAGAGATAAATGATTATCTATATTATGTGTAATATATTTAATACCCTATTTATTTCATGTCATATCAAACCTGCTTGTTTACTATTTATTTTAATTGTTTAATACACGGTAAAACATTATTTTCTACAGTAGTCAATATTGATCACACATCAAACTTTTACTATTTGGAATCCATATCCATCTCTTGATTAATATATTTTGCATAAATTCATATCGTAAACATTATTATCAAACATTATTGCGGAGCGCGCGGTGACCCTGAGCTCTGATAGCACTGGATGTGTCCCTGCAGCTATTGAATGACACTCACTCAATGTGGAATGCTACCCTGGACCAACATGACTTGGTCCTGCTATTTCCGTACTTCAAGCGATGTGTGCACCCTTGACTATGCACAAAAGTTTCTAAGTAGACGCTCCTTCCTTCCTAAACACCTTTTTAGATCGTCCAACTATTGCGTCATCTTTAAAGCTGTCATTTAAACAATTTTGACAACATGACAGTTTAAAAGATGATTTCTCTTTCTGAATGTTGCTTCAGCATGCTCTTCAACTTCGGACATTGTTGTGAACGTTAATAATATTACCTTTATATTTTTCACATCGTCATTATCTTCTAGACTTGCGTAATTCGCACAAAAACATCATAACACTGTCCTTTCCTCTATATGGTTATTGGAATGTCCACTGTAATACTTCTGCACAGGCACTATACACTTAGTGTTCGCTTTTGATGTTGCTTTACTAAAATTCCAATAACCATATCCACTTACATTGGTAGATCAACATCTCCATTTGTCTTGTCTTTTTAAAAAATCCTTAAAACACAGGTAAATAACATTTTGTACACTAGATGTCCAGAACAATTGGCACATTTTAACAAAATTTTCTGATTGTGGCACTTATCCTAAAGAATTGGCTTCCATTAGCTAATGCACTTATGAAGAGATCAGAGGCATGGTGCTGATCTCTCAATTCTCAAATGTTTCCGATTTCTGTTAGTGTTTCAATACAACTTTCAATTATAATTATGTCTGATTTATGTGTAGTTTTTGTCATGATACATCGATGTTGTTATCAAACGCTTCTCTTAGAACGATTTGGATGTATAGTTGTTTTAATATATCGTAAGATTTTTAATACAGGCACACCGTCACCACGGAAAAAACGAAACAATTCGACACCAACAAAAAAGAACGCAGCAGAAAAGAAGCAAATACTCCAACAACTTATCAGCCCAGCGTCGGGCAACGACCACTCAAAAAAAATCACAATAGGAGAGTTGATACAAATGTCGGAGAAAAGGACACTCAACACAGTAGAAAGCGCACCTGCTTTTGTCGACTACGGTATGGAAAATAAGGAAACATCATTCGCCAGTGAAGGATCTTCGCCGTCCACGTCTCCTTCGATGAGACACTTAGCAGATCCTAAATTAGAAAAGAAGGTCACTTTTGCCAGACTCTTGAATAAGGTCTCCGCAGAAATGAGCTCTAGTTCAGAAGTAGATATGGTAAATACTATAATGATCCCCATGTCAGTGATAGCTGATAGAGGAATAAAAGTGAAAGCTTCAAGCACTCCTCCCTCGCCTGGAGTGGAAATTAGATCTCCCCACAGCACATCCAGTAATCAAGGCAGCGACTCCATGTCCAGTCTCGATTTAACATTAGCTCACGCTGCTCTGAAAAAATACTCAAGGTATTCTCATCCATTCGTTAATTAATTGAAATCTGAATATGTATTTCATATTGTTGTTTTATTGTAGATTACTTCTTTAAAATCTGTTTTAGAACACCGAAAATATCAAGTGCAGACTCTATACTCGCAATGTTCCGCAACTTCTCTTCATCATCTGCTGCGATCGTTTCACGCGCGTCATCGGGTGGAGTTTCTATATCAAGCACTCCCTCTGCCTCCTCACCGCAAGATGATACAGTAGACGCTGATGACATATCACTGGCTTCCTCACATATACCGTCACTGGCACCAGATTCACCAGTTTCAAGACCGCACAATACTATTGAAATACAGGTATTTTTTTCCGTTTACCAAACATATTCTAATTTCCTTTTCTATTTGTTTTAGACTCTCCACTATTAACACTCTGAAATGAAACCTTTTTATTCTGAACTCCTTGGTAATTATATAAAATTCTGAGTGTACCTAAATCGTAAAACGATAAAACAAAAAATAAATTTTCGTTTTCAGGTACTCGATCCCCTTAGTGCTCATAAATCCTCTTCTTCTGGTAGTAATTTACTGCACCCTCCATCTATCCTGCTCGAAGTTCCAAGTGGAATCAACAAGTGTTTGTCACCTATTAGAGAACTCCCTACCCCACTTCCCACCCCTCTACCTACACCACTACCAACACCTCTTCCTTCTCCTAGATTGCCTAGAGCTAGCATGGAATCTGACGCGAAAAGCGAATCTACGGCTACATGTATGTCACCAAGTGAAGATGAGTTAGATGAAATCAAGTGTGAAATTAAACCTGACAGACCTATTTCCGGATTGCGATTAAGGGTAAAAATCTTCCAGCATCGACATTAACACTGTTATAAAATCAGAAAGTAAATTAAAATATTTAACAATCTAAATCTTGATTTTTTCAGTTACTACAGCCTGCTATCGGCACTGACACACCGACACCGTCCACACACGTAACAGACTCACCCAGCCCAAGTTTTACTCAAAGCCAAGACTCGGAGCGTGAGATGTCGTCACCGTCACCCGCTCCTCCTGTGCTACGAGTTCCAATCCTGACTATAGAACGGCCTTCCCCCGGATCTCCACCACCAAGACGCACCCCTCCGCATTTGGAATTTCAACCACCGCCGCTAATTACGGTCACGTATAATGCAAGCGAAGAATCTGACGAGCCAATGTCACCTAGGCCGCCACCCCCAAGCAGTAATATGTGCTACTTAAGCCCTTTTTCAATGTCGGCTCGAGGAGAAAGGGCACCTTCAGAATCTAACCTTTCCTCATCTGGATACAGCTCCATGGCTAGCCCTGGCCCTTCTAGATGCGGTTCTAGTAATCCACTGTGCCCATCAGAAATGGAAGACCCAGGCTCAGGTGGCGGTCCTTCTTGTTTTCAATCCAGAAGACGTCCACTGATGAAAACTAATTCTAGTCCGGCAACCTCAAATGACGATTCTAAAGAGAGAAGACGCGGAAGATCCGATTCTGAAACTTTGTCTGATGATCCGTTACTTGAATCCAATGACGAAGGTATCGGAACTGATGAAAGAGTAGACGATGTTCCGTCCAGTGCTAAGGAATTGGAAACAATGGTTGCCTTGAAGGAATCCCTGGAGATACCACTAACCATCTGCTCGCCTAGTGGCGTGACGAAATGTTCAATAGTGAAATGCATAAGTGTTGAAAGAGGTTTGGATGAAAAGGCTTGTTTGAAACCACCTACTCTACTCTCTGATTGCAGTCGACCGTTAAGTCCAGTAAGTTCTAGAAGCGAAAGTCCTTTGAGCGACAAAACGGGTCTGGGGAGATTTTCACCTCACTTTTACGGTAGACAACTGCCATTTACGGATTCCGATGGTCTATATGACTTTCCGAGTTCGGAGTGTGTGAAAGGGAACTATTGTAAGTCGGCAACCAACAACCAGAAGAAGTCCGGGAGGAAAAGAGATAGAAGGACAACGAGAACAATATCTCACGAGGTCACCGGAACGACGAAATCTACGCTGCCACATATGCCTCACTCTATGCACAACTTGCTGGAAGTAAGTTAAAACTGGTTTTGGTTTAACTCAAATAGAGATGTTTCATTTTGGACCTAGTCTATGTACACTTCCCTAAAAATTGGGATAAAAAATAAGCTTCCGAGAAAAACAAATTAAGTAATTTATTAGTACAATTTAGAATAATGCGGCGATTTTGACGATGTCTTTAAATCTGTGGTAATGTTAGTAATAGAAACATAGTACTTTCAAATGTATAATGTGTGAAAAAGTGTAAGTAACCTAAATCATACACAAAAGTAGTGGCTCAAAAAATATTATGGAATTGTATTTTTTATTTATATATTAGCTAAAAGAGTACTTAGAAAGATTTTGTTGATTATGCTATTATTGTATTTCTGAACTGTTGTCAATAGAGACTAGTTGACACAATTCTCAGTAACATTATGTTTTCTAGACTAGAGGGACTAGGTTAACAGTGAGGGCTTTCGCGTATGAATCCGCCGCTAGAGGCGCTAGTGTAGCGTGAGGTCTCCGAAATGTCAAATGTTATTGCTTGTTGGTTGACTACGCGGGTTTATTTCTTATTAAAATAATGTTGTGAATAATTGGTAACAATTCGGCTTAATTATGGCAAATATGAGTTATGGGGCAATGAATGTCAGTTATTAAAAATTTGAGCTTAGAAAAATGATTATGTTCCCATTTTTTCCGAATAACATGTGTCACTGTGGCATGGCCTATTATGTTTAGGATATGGTTCTTTTGTGTTAAAATACGATCTAAATGTAACCTTTGATTTCATGTGCGTATTAATAAACTTTAAAAGTTACAATTTAGGACCTCACTCAACAGTGGCGCCATCTGGTGAGGCAGAAAACGGTAGCCCTCATTACAAAAAATCAAGTACATTATTTCCTACATACACATATTGTGCTTTCACAACATACTTAAAAAAAAGGCAAAGACAATTCCTACTGAACACCAAGCCGAATCACTCGAGTCTGGCGATATCTACAAAAGTGCACCGGCATTTTCCAAAAAGAAAAAGAAAAAGAAGTTTAAATTTTAAAATTATTAAAAATTTCTTTACCGTTAAATAAAGCTAAATATGGAAATTTTAATGGTAGGAGTCGAGAATTTCTTTTTTTTTTATTTCTTCTATTTCTACATTATGTACAAGACCTAGCCCAAGTCCATCCAAAATATGAAACATCTGTTTTTAAAAAATACAGTTTATTGAAATCTGTAACTTTTTCACATCAATATTGCGAATATCATACATATTTTCAGATTATATCAACAAATAACAAATTAATCAAAGAAAAGCATCATTTAATATCATTTCAATATTCACAACTTGACCAAACGTCTAACTTATTTGAAAAAAGCTACCCACCAAATGATTGCATATTTTATAAAACTACCCTGTCCCCCTAATTAATAAACAAGGAATAAGCTTAGTCTGGTTACGCCGCGTTTTGTTCATGTCACTCAAATGTCATTTGTCATTCAATAGACAGACAAAACATGGAGTAACTAATCCAAGACGAAGTCTTCGTTTATTAATAAGGGGGTATGAGTGTAAAATCTTAGTATCTTTGCAGAAAATTGAGCCGTAATACCGGCCATACACACTACGAGAAATCGTTACGATCAGACTGTACAGTTCGAACGGAACAGTTTATACGATTTCGTTTAGTATAGGAAACTGTGCAGTTTTATAACATACACGCTACGATTTATCGGTACCGTTCGGACTGTACAGTCTAATCGTAACGATTTCTCGTAGTGTGTATGGCCGGTATAAGTCCACGCATGTTTTGTGCTCCCGATATTTTGAACTTTTATTTCCCAAAGGTTCCAGGATGTCGCGAATCTACCACCCGCAGTCGTAAGGGCGGTCGGCGCCGCTCCCGCTCCCAGGCCCCCGCGCCCCCCTCTTCATCATCATCAGAGGACTCCGTCTCTAATGCCTCGGTGGCTTCAGTCGCGTCAGCCAGAGAACTGAGGCTGCCAGACTTGGAAATGCAGGTACAGGTTGGCACAACAAAATCTATTTAGACTAGCTTTAGAGTAGGATTACCATCTATTCAGATTTGCTCAGACTTTGAGACTCTTTTCAAAAAATTTTGTGAAAATTTAAAGTTATTTAATTATTTGTAAAATGTAAGAAAGGTCAATGTGTTTTTTTTCCATTCGGTATAGTTTTCTTGAACTATTGACTAAAACGTAAAGCTGTATGTATTATTAAATAAAAAAGATACATACCGAGTTAAATTTTTGGTGCTTGAGGTGTTACAAAGGGCTAAAGATTTTTATCTTATATATAAAATTCTCGTGTCACAATGTTAGTTACCATACTCCTCCGAAACGGCCTGACCGATATTTATGAAATTTTATATGTATATTCCGTGGGTCTGAGAATCGGCTACTATCTATTTTTCATATCCTTAAGTGATAATGGTTGTCCACCTGTAACGTAGTGTTCTGAAACCTACAATGCGCCTTCGCGCCAACTATTGGGTATTGTAACGTAATGTTCTCATATGGGCCTTATCCCTAGGAAGTTGATAGAACACTACGTTACACACCCCTTAAATATTATTTTTTTTATAATGTGGTATTAAAAAATACATACAACCCTAAATTTTCTCTTCTACCACCTGCCCCTATTTTTATGGCGGTACGAAGTTCGCCGGGTCAGCTAGTAATACTATAAAATATGGCGTACATTCTAATTTTCAATAATAATTTTATGATGCTTTGTTCATTACTTTATTGGCGAAGTAGGTGTAGAATTTATTGAATTACTTGCAGCCGTGTGAGCCGACTCGGTTACGAAAACCACTGAAGAGACAAAAATGCCGTAGCTCAGAGGTGACTGCATGACTTCAATTTACGTTTCAATATTGCATCAGTGCCGACCATAAATACGGTTTCGGTTAAAAATATTGCAATAAAATATCTTTTTAAGCGTTGACAATACATGGATTTAGAGTTCCTACTCAGAACGTTAAATATATAAGTGCGGAGTTTATGTGGATTTTAATTCAATGTAATAAAATCAACAATAACAATATTATTATTAAGATTTAATATAGTATTATGATAGTAGCCCAAGATTGATCTCAATGGCGTGTTATTGGAGAGGCCTATTTCCAGCAGTGGACTAAGACAAGGGCGGATCCAGCTTTGGCGCCAGGGGGGGGGGGGGGGTCATATAGCCAGCTTTGGCGCCAGGGGGGGGGGGTCATATAGCCAGCTTTGGCGCCAGGGGGGGGGTCATATAGCCAGCTTTGGCGCCAGGGGGGGTCATATAGCCAGCTTTGGCGCCAGGTGGGGGTCATATAGTCGTGGTATATTAAATATTGAAAGTACTTAAATAAAATCCCCCTGGGTTTGGTCCATCTGTACCCAGCCCAGGGGGGGTCATGACCCACATGACCCCCACCCCTGGATCCGCCCTTGGACTAAGATAAGCTATTGATTATTGATGGAGATGATGATGATTATTGCCTTCGAACTTTGTGACAGGTTAACTTTCTCCATACATTCTATCTAATCAAAAGTTGCTTATACCAAAACGTTGAACATATTATTGTTAATGCACATTATCTCTTAATTATTTTTTACTGTTATTATGTTTCATCCATTTAACGTGAAACCGTGTTTGTTCAATGCTAACCAAAAATTTCAATTCGCATTAATACCTAATTAATTTCGTTATTGTGTCTGTTGCAAAATTGAGCGTGCAATTGTCATCAGAGGACGAGAAAACGTACAAAAGTGCTCTATAGAGACCCATCAATTACCGAACTCATTTAAACCCATTGTAAAAGAGTGACATGTTGAAATAGAGAGTGATTAATATAGCTTTTTGATTTCCTGGTTGCATAATAATAGTGTCAATTTTGGCATGAATCTCTAAACTTAAAACTAAATTTAGCATCAGTCTCTCCTTTTCATTCTGTATAGATAATGAAAAGGATACATTGGTGTCGATTCTAGCATGATTCTCTAAACCTAAACTTAAATTTGACAGTAGTATATCCTTGTCATTCTCTATACAGAATGAAAAGGAGAGACTGATGTTAAATTTAGTTTTAAGTTTAGAGAATCACGCCAGAATTGGCACCACTGTTGTCAAATTTAAATTTAGGTTTAGAGAATCATGTCAGAATTTAAACCATTGTCTTTAGATTTAGATGAATTAGACAGATTACAGATTAGACAAATCTATCACAGCCTAAAAAGACAAAAAAATAATATGTCGATTCTCATAACTGAAAGAATTACATATAATGAAAAGATTGACAAGGCGAACACAAATTTGACAATTATTCTATCATTCGCCTCCATCATTCGCCATGCAACGAGTGGTCTCACCCATTCGCTGCACTCGAGCGGTTCAAAATACAGATTTAATTATGTCGAATGAAAATTAGTAGAAATAGAGCTTTCGACGCAAGGTGAGTGATTCAAAAATAGAGCTCCAGGATACACTCTTATCAAATTTTATTTAAGGTTGAGAGAATCATTCCGGAATCGACACCATTGTGTCGGGTATGGAAAATTTAATTTATATACAAATCAGCACATAATTATAACGTACGAAAAAATATTTGTTAGTACGCACTAGATTTACTTTCTTCTTTAATTAAGTACCTACTCGCTTTTCGTTCACAGATATTTTTTTTCTCGTAGATTTGAAAATAAAATTATACTAAATTTATAATTGAATATAAACTGCTAGATTATAGATATAATTTCATGAAAATTTCAATAGTAGGTAAATTCTTACGATTGTGGGTTTACCTATAATGCGAAGAGATGGCGCTGCCTTGCAGCTTAAGAATAGCTAGAAAGAATTTCGACGCGGTCCGTGAGGGCCGCGGTAGCATAATTGGTCAGTGCATTCGCCCGGATTGCGAAGGGTGCGGGTTCGAGTCCCGTCTGCTGCCTGGTCCGCGTGGAATTTTTTCTAGTTATATTTTCTTTAAATTCTTACGAGTTAATATTCTTAAATCTTTTTATGCTTTGATAGATTTTGCGAACATGTTGTGTAGGTATAGCAGCAGTGGTTGTTATTAATCAACATGGTAGATAAACTGCATTCAATACCATACTTCTACAATCATTGTCAACATTAATAGTGCAGTAAAGGCGCAGTTTAAGAATGTGCGTGCAAATTTCTCGTAGAATAGCTAATTTGGAGGAATGAACTGTAGAATCAATTATATTGTTTAACAACCCAATAAGTTGGTAAGTCGTAAACCTAATAATGTGTATGTAATATCAGTACATTATTATTATAACGACAGTTGGATATTTATAAGTTCTTATCTAGTTATGATTTTATTTATTTTTTAAGCATTTAACTGCTAGATGTTTAAATCTAAAGAAAAGTTTACTAGAAAAAAAATCCACGCGGACCAGGCAGCGGACGGGACTCGAACCCGCATCCTTCGCTATCCGGGCGAATGCACTGACCATTATGCTACCACGGCCCTATTAGCCCCGTCGAAATTTTCCTAGCGTTAAGCTGCAAGGCAGCGCCATCTCTTCACATTGTAGGTAACCCACAATGTCAAATGAATACTTTTTCAAGTAGAGAACCCGCATCCTAAGCAGTGCATGGTAGCATAATGGTCAGTGCATTCGCCCGGATAGCGAAGGATGCGGGTTCGAGTCCCGTCCGCTGCCTGGTCCGCGTGGATTTTTTCTAGTAAACTTTTCTTTAGATTTAAACATCTAGCAGTTAAATGCTTAAAAAATAAATAAAATCATAACTATAATTGCTATTTCTTCTTTCAAATGTTTAATACTTGAAAAAGTATTCATTTGACATTGTGGGTTACCTACAATGCGAAGAGATGGCGCAGCCTTGCAGCTTAAGGCTAGGAAAATTTCGACGCGGCTAATAGGGCCGTGGTAGCATAATGGTCAGTGCATTCGCCCGGATAGCGAAGGATGCGGGTTAGTACAGTCAATCTGTAGGTTGAGTGGTGAAAAAAAAACCTAAAGGGTAAGTCTTGTTTTTTCTGTTGCCAAATGACGTCAGTAAGCCACCTTGGCGATGGGCATGTTCAACTCGTAGGCGTTTTTTGAAAAACTCAAAAAAACCGTCAAAAATTTTTTGAAACGCATTTTTCTTGTTTTGTATGCATTTTAGAAACTTTTTTTTCGACTATAATTGTAGAGGGCGTTGACTACTACAACTTATGTCAGTGTTGCAATCTCGTACAACAAAAAATGCGCATTGTAGGTGGCGCTAGAGTGTCAAAAAAAGGGTTTTTTCACTTTTTCTCCCTGAAAATATCATTTTAATGGAAAACTTTGAATGGCAAAGTTGTTTCGTACATAATTACCAACAACTTTTGTATAAACATTTTTTTTGTATTACTTACCGTTTTCAAGTTATAAATTGCGCAAGTATGAAAAGTCCAATACAGCGGTTCAAGTACACATTTGCAGTGCACATTTCAATGTACGTTTTTACCATTTTTTTTTCAATCATGAAAAAAAATAAAAATAAAACTATTTTTTTTTCATTTTTTTTTGTTTTTCAATCATGAAAAGAAATAAAAAATAGTAAAACGTACATTGAAATGTGCACTGCAAATGTGTACGTGAACTGCGCAAAACCGCTCTATTGGATTTTTCATACCTACGCAATTTATAACTTGAAAACGGTAAGTAATACAAAAAAATTGTTTATACAAAAGTTGTTGGTAATTATGTACGAAACAACTTTGCCGTTTAAAGTTTTCCATTAAAATGATATTTTCAGGGTGAAAAAGTGAAAAAACACTTTTTTGAGACTTTAGCGCCTCCTACAACGAGCATTTTTTGTTGTACGAGATTGCAACAATGACATAAATTGTAGCACTTAACGGCCCCTGCAATTATGGTCGAAAAAAAAGTTTCTAAAATGCACACAAAACAAGAAAAATGCGTTTCAAAAAAATTTTGACGGTTTTTTTGAGTTTTTCAAAAAACGCCTACGAGTTGAACATGCCCATCGCCAAGGTGGCTTACTGACGTCATTTGGCAACAGAAAAAACAAGACTTACCCTTTAGGTTTTTTTTTCACTCAAACGATATTTTTTTCGACAGATTGACTGTACTAGGTTCGAGTCCCGTCCGCTGCCTGGTCCGCGTGGATTTTTTTTTCTAGTAAACTTTTCTTTAGTTCTTATCTATTTAACGTAGATACATTTTTGACGACCTCCATGGCCAAGTGGTTTGTACGCCGGGTTTCATGGTGTCGCCGACTCGAGAGATCCCGGGTTCAAATCCTGGTGGAGGCAGGTGTTTGTGTGATGAATACGAGCATTTGTACTCCAGTCATGGATGTTTAATATGTATTTCTATAAAAATATACTTATATATGTACAGTATATGTATTCAATCCGTTACCGTAGTATGCCATATCACAAGCCTTATAGTGCCTACTTTGGGGACAGGCTAATTGGTGTGTGTTGGAAATATTTATTATTATTATTTTAAATAAGCAATGCTATATGATGTAGTGTAGTGTATTTAGTAGGTAAGTTATTTATTCTGAGTATTGGTTTAAATATGATTGAAACAAATTTCTAGCTTTACAAATACACAGTAACAAATATAACTGAGCTCTCGTATTATATTTCAACGCTACCTTCTTACAATCTATATATATAAAACTCGAAAGGTGACTGACTGACATAGTGATCTATCAACGCACAGCCCAAACCACTGGACGGATCGGGCTGAAATTTGGCATGCAGGTACATGTTATGACGTAGGCATCCGCTAAGAAAAGATTTTGATCAATTCTACCCCCAAGGGGATAAAATAGGGAATGAAAGTTTGTATGAAACTGTCAATTTTAAACCGATCGGGATGAGACTTTGCATGCAGGTATAAGAAGAATCATAGATGAATGTCATTGTGTATAATACAAGCCTGAGAACAAAAACTGAAGTCTACACTTCAGCTCTACACCGAAGCGAAGCGAGGGCGGGCCACTAGACAAATATATATTTTCGAAGTTTTAATTTACTTAAACTTTTTCGCCATATTTCTTGATTGGGTTGTTCATAATGTACTGAAATTACAACTACTACCCTACAGCCCTACAGTAAAACGTAGATTATCATCGGTTGTATCTTCTGTAGACCATTAACAGGTATGAGGTATTATTGTATAGTGGGACAAATCATTTAGAAGCATGATGTTACGACTCTGGCTAAACTGTACTTCCAGGGCCCAATCGGTAATACTTCACACTAGGTTAGGTTAGGTTAGTGTTGTGACCATAACGCGCGAGCCGAGCGAGCGAAGCGAGCGTGCCGCTGTAGCGGCTGGCGAAGCGCCATAAAAAACTGTTAAACGAGACCTTTTCTACAAAAAAAAATGGTTGCCTGTAAAGTCGGTTTTACGGGCGAAGATTTTACGTGACAACGTCTTTTTCTCGGTAGAATATTTATTGATATGAATATAATTAAATTGCACAATAGGAACAAGGAATTGAATGAAAATAAGAATTGCACAAATTTTAACTATAGAAATATATTTTGTTTACTAAAACATTGTACATGTAAACTTAAACTTAACACGAGAGACTCATCGTAACGTTACCGAGCGTTACACTTTTTCATAAGTGACTCCCAGCCGCAACCTAATTTAAGACGTTGTCACGTCAAAAAATCAAGTATCACCTCTTCGGTGCTGGAAGTACAGTTTTACCACAACTCTTACGTCATCATTTGAACTGCACTATACCGATAAACGTTTATGTTTTAGGACACATCGTCGAAAATATCTTCAAGCTTGGATCTAACCGAAGACACACGCAAGCCGGCGAAGATTAACAAATTGAGAACTATCAGTAACCAAATAAGGTACAAAATAGCCATTCTTATTTATAAATTTTGCTTTCGAAAATTCGCAAATAATTTTGATCCACAATCAACTTTACCTCAGGGGTCAGAGGTATGAATTGAACGCATATAATTTTTCACTTCTCGAACGAATCTAGCGCTTTGTACACTACCTACTACATTGATGTTATGACTGAGTTATGGTTGGGGTCTTGACACCAGCGGTCAGCATGCTACTCTTCTTATTACAAATTGTATGGGTGCTAACGACTGCAGATGCAATCGTGACATGACCAACAACTTTACATGTCTTCCGAAACACAGAGTACCTACGTCGATATAAAAAAAAGTCACACGTCCTATAACCCGCGCAAAATTGCGCGTTGCTTAAATTCATCCTAGGCTGAACATCCTGCTAGCCCCTGCGCCATCAAACTACTCATGATGAATTAAAAGTAATTTCATTAGTAAAATAAGTAGATTCTCTATTTTTTTTCCTTACCTTTTACCCTGTCGTGGCCAATGCACAAACCGTGCGAGCCATTATAATAGTGAAAAAAAAATCTCTGTTTTTTTTGGCGGGATTTCATCGAGTGCGGTTGGCGTCTTATTTTAATTATTCTTAAATTCGTTCATAGTGGATATTGTGAAATAAAATTGGTGTGGTTTTGTGTAACAACTGTCTGCGTAACTGAAGAATTAGTGGAATCGTTAAAATATACGCTATTCCGGTCAAGTGGACGTGAGAATTTTATTGTAGTGTTGACTACCTCACAGAAGCTTATCGAAAAAGCCAACTCGATACATTTCGTGCCAAACACTCCTAGAAACATTAGAATGCGTCACACCGACATTCTAATGTAAAAACAAAAAGAAGATCAATTTAATTAAAGACCAGGCTGTATGGGCATTGTTCCCTTTGCCTTCCCTAAAACGGGAGAACTTCAACAACAACAACAACAAAAAAACTCTATTTTGACAGATTCCTTCGACGCCTTGAAAGGAGTCTGAAAATGAAGGTGAGCTACCCGGCACTCTCAGACGACGAAGGAGACGAATCTTCCAGCGTAACCTCACCACTTCTGCAAGGCAGAAAAGACCTCAACCGGATGCCAACTCACGCGATATCAGCCCCTCTGCTCGGCGGCATAAGACCCAAAATCACGCGGCAACGACGCTACGACAGATCCTTAGTGAGCGAAGACACGAGGACATTAAATACTGCGGTGGGACTAGAAAATTCAGATTAAAAACTCAAGTCAATATACTTCAAGTGCATTTAGTAATACACATAATATGATACAGGTACATTATCTAGTATTCTTCTGTTCGGTACTCGTATGTTACTACTTAGCTAGAGTAACAAAATATGGCATTTATAACAGATACATTTCGCACGGTCAGAAAAGTGTCGAATTATGGAATACAATACAAGATTCTAATCTAATGTGATACGATATTTATGTAAGACACGAATCGTGAGTAGTATTGATTTCGGATACGTAGAGATAGAAAACTTATAGAGTAGTCGCATAAAATTATCAAATTTAATTTGGATTTATTTCAACTTTTGATGTTTCAACCTTTTTACTCGAAGGGTTCGCTTAACTGTGTATGTAGGTGATTTTCTAATAGCAATAACTCATTTGTAGAGACTAGAGAACGTTTTACTGTAGATAAACTTGTAGATATTTATTATAAGTAGATCCCATTTATTGTAACTTATTGTTGATTCTCATTTTGTCAGTGTTGAGTATTATTGTTTTCTCTGTGTCATACCTATATAATATTTAGTGACTTTCCTTCGCTATAAGTTAATGTTTGTTTAAGTAATGAACTACTATGTAAATATGCTTTTTTGTAAATATATATTAAACGTATTGCTCAAATGCATATTTTGTGAAATCGTTTTTTGCGCACTTTTTGCTACTTTGTAAATAGTTCGAACGTACTTATAATGGTTAATTATGTAAGTAACAGGACTCGAGAGAAATTTTCATTTTCTTGAATGTGTTATGAAATTGTAATAATTGTAAATGTTTATTAAATATAAAATGTAATGAAAGGCCCAAAAAAAATTGGTATACCAAATGCACAATTACTAATTATGTACAATCATAATGTACAAGTGTATGATCACACTAATTTATAGTAAGATGATTGTATATTTATAGAATATAAACCTGTACCTATACCTGACGCACCAATAGCATAGTATCAGCAATATTATCATTATTATATGTATAATCATACACACTGCATTTATATTATGTACTTATAATGTATTTTTCCCGCACAATATGTACTGCCCACTTTTTCAAATATATAAATTTTCCGTTCTAAACGTACTTAGCTCTATGCAAATCGAATCCTGTAGCCGTAACCTGTTTATAATTCCTTTCTGCTTCTAGAATATTCCCCTACGTTTTTGTAAAGTTACCTGTAATAGCAATAATCACAATAAAATATAACAAATAGATGCCTTTTGTATGCCTCAACGACATTGTAGATTTCTTAGATATACATAGTTGTAGCGTCCTGAAAATCGATAAGTAGATAGATAACCTATCCATCTTATACATTGATGTGTTTGTAATATAATAATCGGCCTTCATTTTTATATACCCATATAGCAAGCGAACAATGCAGAAAATATTGATAAAAATTAAATAAATTTTATATTTAAGTGGCAAAAGCCATTTAATGTGTTAATAATATTTCGTGGTCCCAATAACGCAGGTCTGCTGCGCCACCTACATAGGTTAGGTTCAATGTCCTAAAAGCGACGGTTCGCTTCCTACAATAACTACCCTATGCCCTTAACAAGTGGTAACTCTATATTTTCGAAACATACCCTACAAAATTATGTAAATGAGTATATACAGTACACATAATTTTACAACATAGAGCCAAATTGTTACCATACTGCTTTCAGTGAGAAAGTGCTCGTCTTTCGCTCGCTGCCGCTTCTACCATTCGGGTGTGAATCGGCACATAATTTGAAGTCAATGCAGGAGTCACTCGGCCCATATATTTTTCAAACCAGAATAAAGTTTACCACTTGTATGTGGCTTAGGTCTGCTAGAATTCACGAACCCATGTCCTGTGCGAACGCAATTATCAGTGGCGGCGCTAGACCACAAGTGGACGTCGGCGACATCAAGTTCGCGAGGCCTATTTTACTTCGCAGTAAAAAACCGTTAAATTAAGTGAGCCAAATTATAAAATAACGTATGAGTAAACGAGTTTAATTGATGAAAATCAAATGATGACAAAAAAATTAAAAAACAGAAAGGAGATTGCTCAAATTGGCCCAAATGCACAAAAAATATTGACATACACGGTAATTCTTGGCGTAATTTATAATTTAATTTACAGTCATTAGATTTCAACGGTATAATATATTTACTTTAAAAAGGACTTTTAATTTTACCGGTTTGGAAAACATACGAATCATTTTTAATGGCTATGGGTGTAGTAACATTCAGCCAAAGACGGATCGAAGTTGTTTATATAACATAAAAACAAATCTATTTTGTAAAGATCGATAAAATAAATCATTTTTTTTATTACACTGTGATATTTATATCCACAACTATATTTTCATTTTCACTGGATGCAAATGTGCTCAGACAATTACTATAGATGGTAGGCGACATCATAAAGTCTATTGACGTACATTTTTCGCCAAACACCTCCATAAACACATTATAATCTGTCTATATGTTAGATTTTAAGGTATCTATCTATGGGCCTACGATCCCTGACTACAAATTAATAAATAAATAAAATTATAAGGTGTGATACACTAAAAATCTAAAATATGGTTATCTTAAAAACATAACAAAAATAATGAAGCTACTGAATATACGGCTATAGAACCTAAATCTCTTAGCTTTCTTTGGTTAACGACAGTTTAAAATTTCTCTCTAACCTGTGGCTTATTCACAATCACATAACCGGAAATGACACCTGATTTTAAAAGTTACTCTTATGCATTAACTTTAAAAACAGGTAACTATCTGTTAATCTACATGCTCTATATACCTGAATCTAATCCATAATTTCGGTACTTGACTTGATTTCCCTAGTTTACTATATAACTTATTTGTTTTTTATTATTTTAATATGTTCAGTGTATATAGTTTATAGAAGTTCTCAGGGGTGTCCGTCAATAATATTCGTTTCTACAGTAATTTATATATAATTTCGAATCTAGGAAACAATTTTTCTTGATTATTGGTCTTTAGGCCAAACATGTATGGAAGCTGAGCAATCTCCTTTAATTACAAAAATAGTGTTGCCAGACAGACGATTCTGAATACCCGTAAAGTAACTACTCGCTTCCAACACGCACGTGTTCGAAAATAATAAAAGTTTTTCCCCGAATTGTTCGGGGTCGGCTACCTAAGCCAGGTCAGGAGAAACGAAAATAAATAGGTAACTTGTAAAAATTTTTTGCGAGGCCCCCTCAGGCGCGAGGCCGTCGGCGGTGGCCGACGTAGCCGACGCCTAGCGCCGCCACTGGCAATTATGTGACATATTTGCTGTTGTATGGCAAATTGTGTAGCTGTATCAAGTGTCCTTGCGGTTTAACATTTACATCTAAAAAAGCATACCTATGACAAACAAATGTCAAACCAGTGTTTTAGCGGAGATATAACTGAATGCATCGTTTCTCAAAATTAAATTAGAGTCACAAATGCTGAAAAAAATTGGGTTCTTAATCTACGAACACCATGATGCGGTGACGAATAAAACGGTATAATAACATAAAATTATTTTTTACAGGAGCAGTAAAAAATTGAATGTACACATACCTACAGTGAGATTTAAGCGTGGTTACAAAATTAATTATAGACTAGAAATAGATAGACCATTAATTTTGTAATTTTAACACTGTTTTGGTTGAAAATGAGTTCAGCCCCTCTAGCATGACCACCGAAACGGGATATGATAAAGCGATATATGGGCATTAACTGTCAGACTACTATGGAGTTTGACAGTAGTCTGACAGGTCGATATATCGCTTTATCATATCCCGTTTCGGTGGTCATGCTAGAGGGGCTGATTCTAATTCAGCGAGCCCAAAACCTTCGAACTGTAAAAAAAAGGATTTTGACCAAATGCATAATTTATAATTATACCTTTTTGTTCGCCAGCTCGTCACATGTCCTATAAGGTTATAGAAGAGAGCGTACAGCGTAATATTATTATCTAGCCGATGCCGTGATTATTTCTGCGCGTTATGAATAAATAAATTGGTTTTCCAAACAAACTTCCATAGAGTTTGGAGTTTTATTTCCGCGATGAAGGTACCTACTCCTCAAATGTTCCCTTTCATCCTCCATACAAAAAATCATCAAAAACAGTCGATCAGTGTGTGAACGTAGAGAACGAACGAACGTAGACTCACGGGTAGATAGACGGAGTTAATTTCCTTAGGCCCTGCCAGAATAACAGCGCCGCTGTGGCCTTGGTGTCGTTGTGGCATTGTGCTGAGGCAGGGACCTAGTTGACCTTATTCTGCGTTTTTCTTTATGCTTTTATTTCTATGTTTCAATGTTATTGATCAATAAATTATTTCTTTCTTTCTTTAATTACATGATAAAGCAATAAGGTATCGAATAGTTAACGTTTGTCTACTAAACTGTAGGGGGGCTAGTTGTGATTAGATTAAAATGCGGGTAGTTTTATTTTTGAGAAACGATGTATATACAGACAGCGACAGATTAAGTGCAGATTATAGCAAGCGTCTTATTGGCTATGGTGGCCGATTACCATCAGGCAGGCCACAGGCTTGTTTGCCACTCTTTTGACATAAAAAAGTTACCAAAAACATACTTAATTACAAAATATGAGAATCTTTTGAGGAAACAGTATAACAACTTTGTGTGTCTGTCTGTTCGCTAGTAGTCTAAGGCCGATTAGAACTTAGCTAGAAGCTTGATAGTTTAACATTTCCAGCAATAATTTTATATTATTCGACTGTTCAAAGACTGACATTATATTTTGTGTGCACTATTTATCCGATGTGCTTCTGTGTTTACTTTCATCGTGTTTGTAATCTGTGTGTTATTGTTAAATTAGGGTGAATTGTATGTAAAGTAGTATTTGGCATCGTCTCTCGATGTCTATAATAACTACTAACACATGAAGCTTGTTAGTTAAATTTACACTGTAATTATTATGATTTAGAAATCACAATCAATCCATAACATCTGCAAGTACATATGCAATTCTAATAGTAAGAGAGCCCAAGCGCAGATTTTGGGATTTACTCGAGCGCGGTAGAATAAAATAAGGGAGGCAGCCTTGCATCTTGTGAAGTACTAACACCATACCTGAGCCCTTTGTCTAAGGCAACAAAAAAACCCACAATCGACCATGACTTTTGGTCGCGCATAAGTTGTCAGTGTTTTGAATAGGAGCCAGAAGGGTTCACGTAACGTTTCCGATGGCAGAAAATATTAATGTGTTGATTTGTATTGTAATGGGGGGGGGGTGGCTGTGCGAAAGGGTAGAAATAAGGAAAAACAATCAAGCGCGTCAGACATTGAGAAGAGATGTTACGTTAACCCTCCAGTAACTCTTTTTCAATAGACTGACGATTTGGACGCGACCAAAAATCATGGCCCAATGTTGTTTCTTTTTTGCTGCCCTAAACGTTCAACCCTATATAAAGGGCTCTAGTATGGTGAAGTACTTCGCATTATGCAAGGTTGCCCCGATTATTTTATTCTGCTGCGCTTGAGTAAATCCCAAAATCGCCGCTAGGGCTCCTCTACTATAAGCATCAGTGAACTCAAGCCCCCTTATTAATAAACGAAAAATCAGCTTGGATTAGTTACTCTACGTTTTGTCTCTACTCTACTCTGCCCAGTGAATGACATAAGTCATTTGAGTGACATGAACAAAACACGGCGTAACTAGTCTAAGTTTATTCCTTATTTAATTAATAAGGAGGTAAAAAAATATAGTTCTATCACATAAGTAGAGAAAGTTCTATATAATTTTTCAAAATGAGAAGATTGACCCAATGGCGCAGCGTAGTGGCGGCGGCACTTCTTAGGGGGCGGCAAAATTTTACAATAAATAAGTAAAATATTTCAACCATTTAAAAAAGATGGCGGCAAAATTGTCCTTCACCCCGAGCGGCCGACACCCACGCTACGCCGCTGGATTGGCCACTGCTTTAGTTCCGCTGAAAAGCATGAATCTTAAAAAAAAATACTAACTATATGCAACAAGAATTTAAATAATATTTTCTTATTAACCAGTAGTGGTTGCTTTCTTATATTTCTCAAGATAGAAAGATCCAGAGCCCAGTAATTGATAATTATTATTTTCCTAAAAAAATATCATTCTAACAGATAACTCAGAAGATTATGAAAAGCATGTATTACTTTTAATTGATGCTGGCGCATCACTCGGCTGATCGTGTTTTGCTATTTGTTAGTTTGACCTGAGTCTGTCCTTTTCATTCCTTATGTTATCTTCATCATCATCATCATCAGCATATTAATGTCCCCACTGCTGGGGCACAGGTCTTCCCTATTGATGGAATAGGGAGATTGGGCCATGACCCACCACGCGGGCTCAATGCGAATTGTTGAGTGC